AATACAACACTAACTTTTTCTCGCAATTGTATGGAACTGTAACTGTATATATTAGTAAGAAGATGCAAACGTCATTTCAGGATGTTACAAAAACCCGAGGGAACATAAAAATGAAGTTATGGGTAATATTTCACAACTCTAAATGCGGGTTTGCGCTTGTTGGGTGCATATAGGGAATACTGATGAAATGAAAAGCAAGGAGGAGAATTTTTTTGTTTTCTCTTTTATCGTCTCCCCTTCTGTTGCAGCCTTGGTTGAAAAAAAAACTGAATTAGATTGCGTCACACATTTCATACCATAAACTTATGTAACATCAGCCTAACCTTCAGTCTTTCATTCCTCCTTTTTTAGACTTTTCCACTGTTTTATTCTTTTCTTTACTTTTTTTCTGCTATCATAGCCAAGATCCAACCCCTGTATGAGACATCCACACCCTCTATTTGCTGCTGCCCACTATGACAGGAAGCACTTTCTCACATTTTCTTTTTCAGTTACAAAAGAAAACAACAAGAGTGAGAGGAAGAGTGAGAGGAAAAAGCAGAGAGCAGACAGCATATTGTTAGAAAAATTACGTGAAAGGGCCAAAAAGGTGTCTATGGTAAACAGAAAGCAAAGGTGAAGTTGAGATTGTTCCTTTTTCTATTGGTTGTCTCTGTGGTCAGTAAAGCTAAACACCCAGCACCACTACAACCCACCAAATCTAATTACTGCACCTCCCAAGCACATATTTCACAGTTCTCTACCCTTCTCAAATAACAAGATGTCCAGAAATCGCGGCGCTTGATTGGTGTACTGACTGTGTGTGCACCAATCATCAGGACACCGAATCCCATTAAAATTTGCCATTACCTGCTCCTGCATGAGAGTGGCCAATTTGCAGACACCCCAATCAAACAGTAGTCTCACTATGCCCCATTCCTCTTTGGGTAATAGTGGGTGCGCCCTGAACGTGAACCACATAGTGCAGGTTTGTGGCGAACAGGCAGAGTTTTTAGTCTTGAAATGGTGCGTGCAACTTTTGCTGACCTAAATCCATTATGTGGAAGAATTTTGGCCCATTCATCTTTACAATGTTGCTTTAGTTCGTTGATGTTACATATGCACAGTCCTCTTAAGGTGCCATCACAGCATTTCTGGACTTTGACCAAGCTATTACAACACCTCGAGTCTTTTGTTTTTGCAGCCATTCGGTTGTACGTTTGCTCGTGTGCTTGGGATCATTGTGCTGTTGCATGACCCACCCACACATGACCTCACATTTGACTGAAACAAAGCGCCCAGGTTTTGTGACTCCAAAACAAACCCATGTCATAGTTCATATGAGATGTGTGTCCTAATATTGGTTTTGTCTGTCTTGCGGTTTGTTTGGACGCAACTTTGCAAACCAGTTGGAAGCATCTGGTTGCTACATTACCTCTTAATTTCCATGGAAGGAGTAAGCATGTACTAAGAGACCATGGCGAATCACTCATACCTTATCAGTCACCAGTCATGAGCTAATGAGCATGCTGGGTTCCCTGGTCAACAATCTAAGATGCCCCCCCCCAAACGTCTTCTCGATATATATATTAATGAAATCTGGAATTTGGACGGAAACCAGGCAACTTGGCAAAGCAAAGTGATTGGAAAGGTCTGGGAGACATGGCAGAGACAGACAAGTATGGAGTATTTGGCTCCAGCTGTTGAAAGTGGGAAAAGACAATAAGGCTGTGAATGCGACTGGTGAAAAAAGCAGCAAATATAAAGGTCCAGGTCAGTTCTTGTGTGTTGCACCAAGTGTGTGTGTATTAAGGTAAGGCTTTGGTGCTCACTTATTAAAAGTGCTCAGCAGTTGTGCGTTTTTCTCATCTGTTTGAGGGTACTTCAAACTCAAAGACAGGCACATATTTTTCTTTTTTTTCTAACATTAAAAAAAAAATTGAATATCAGATCCAATTTCATCAATCACAGTTTTTGCTACTTGGGTTGCCTCACGGGAGACTTCATTTGCAGCAGTAATCACAGGGCAAAAGACTGCAGGGAGAGATAAAAAGACGAGCACACAAAGAGGGATAACTCCTCCTGATCTCCTCACAGCAGCATGAGCTGACGGTATCCCAGTGGCAATGTTGCCTTCCCCCCTACCCCTTCGTGCCCACACACAAAAAAGACAAATCTTAAAATTTATGGAAAGAAAGTAAAACATGACAAAAAGCCCACAACGAGCTGCAACTTGTGTCAAGTCTCAAGAGTTTGCTTCATACGGCGGTCCCTCACCAAGGACTCCCAGAGGACTGTAAGCAAGTCTTACTAGAGCCAGATGGCCCTGATCTTAGGTATTCAGCTGCTGCAGTAACAGCCAAGGAGGTGTCACAGTCAATGCAAAACACAACCTGCCATTGCCACCAATAAACACATGCACACACAAACAGTGGAGACTACAGATGAGAACACAGGGTACTGTCGTTGTCACGGTATGGTGAAAAAAGACATGGATTAAAGCTAGACTGCACATATCTTTAGATAAAGAAAGAGAAATGCTGTATTGTGAATTCCTGCATGCGCAGATACGATGGTAGATGAATGACCTATAAGCACAGGGTGTGGTCAGCTGCAGCTATTTAGCTGGTACCATTTTACACAAGCATTGAATTGTGAGTTTGGTGGACACTGTGCTGTTGCTAATTTCATTTCAAACTCTGAGCGAATCCCATGTGCTCTCATGGCAGATGAGTTTTCAGTATGGCAGAGAAAGCTATATTGCAGTCTTTTGGTCTGTGTGCTTATCAGTTACACCGCATACTGTCCAAATAGACTATATGGTTTTACTGTGAGGAAATATTTCTTGCCCTCTGTCTATATATATATTTATATATGTATATATATGTGTGTGTGTGTGTGTGTGCATTACATTGATGTGTGAGCCATGTAAATTTATTCAAATGTGGGTATGTGGATGCCTCTGTGCATGCAGCTGTACAGTCTCACAAATATGCACTGTGGCTTTTTCTAGCCAAGTCACCCATCACGGCGACCCATTTTCAATCTCCCTAGATCCCAGACCACATCCCTATGTTTACTGCGAATGTGTCCCTTGTGCCTTGTGCCATATCCCATAATCCTTTGACCCAGTGCCAAGAACCAGTGTTGGGCTATTGTCCTCCTCACCTGTTCTGTATTGCCAGTCGCCTGCAACACTTCCTGTTTTCCTTCATCTTTGGCCAACTTTTCTCCATTTTTCACCCCCCTCGTTTTTTCCTCTGGCTTTTCACCACTTCCACCTTTACCTTCATACTTTTGCTTTCATTTACATTCCTCGTTTTTTTTCTCCATCACTTTGTTTTCAGTTAACTGAACACCTGAGTGAAATTATAATAACCTAAAATCCAAAATATTCCAGTTTCCTAATTTGTCTTTCCTTTTTCCATTCTCAACCCTTGATAGATGGATGGATGCAGGGCCCCCCAGAACTCATTACAGATGGAAAACAAAGAGATTGCACTGCTCTGCTCCTCTGACACTTATCTTGCACATTCACTCACATCATCAAATTCTCATCCCTCCTTAAGTGCTGGGTCTTGCCTGGGCAGGAGAGCTGCTGTCTTCCTCTGGGCTCAAGAGGAAGCCTCGTTGAGCTGATTCCAATAACTTTTCATTTTCCTTCTGCTCCTGTGGACTGCCCTGGGTTTGCTCTGTGCTCTTTCACACAGCCACAAACACACACTAGTACACACACTCATATGCACATGCCAGGACTTGTAGTTCAAAATTTGGTGTGCTTGGTCCTATTTTTTCAATCTCTACACTTTGCATGACCTGCGCTTCGGCACAGTTAATTTGCCTTAAAATAATTAATAATGTATCAAACTAAGAATTAAAATGGCAGGATATTAAGCCCTTTAAACATAAGTTCAGGGCTTCCAACGTAATTAGACAGCCACACAAAATCCTCATCTTTCAAATTTTTAATGAGGAACAAAGACAATATCTAAGCTAAGAGAAGAGGAGCCGTTGCACCGAATGACATCACGTTTCATGTTCCTGCAAACTGCAACATGTTCTGGTTTTAAGACTTACCAGAGGTTTGCATTTTGCTTTTGACAGTTCAAAAGCAAAATGCAACCCAAACATATTTAATTGTGTAATGAGCAAAGTACCTAAATGTGGAAAATGCTGGCATTTCTGCTTGCATAATCGCTTAAATTATTAATCGCTTCTAGAAAAAGTAACTTTTTCAAATCGAATGGGCATTTGCAGCTCTATACCTAGGAGACTCCCACCCGAATAGCACCCAGTCATCTGCTTTTGGGGTTGTTTCTAACAATAACTGACTGAAAATTCTGGGCCAGGCCTCTAAAATACCCCCACCGCACGTGGATGTGACAGCCAAGGAGGCCTAGCTTGTCCACTGTCGGCCAGCAATTGCTCAGCTTCATCCAGGGCTGGAAACATGGCAGATGGCAGTAGGAGTGAACAGAGGAGGAAAAAGACACCATGCATGTGTCTATGAATGCGAGGCAAACAGAGACCGGTAGAATGACAGAGGTGTAAACATGTGACCACATGTGCTTGACTGTCTATGATACCATCATTCATCACCTCTAAATCGCTGCAAAAAAAATGGAGTAATATCTTTACTGAAACTAAAGTAGCAACCTTTAGCAACAAATCAATAAAATGCATGTTAGGTATGAGGAGGTGTTAGGTATGGCTTTACCACACATTCTTTAACCATCACTTCAGGAAAACCATTTTAAACGGCAAAAGAATTTGTATCAAATCAAAGCATCTACAGCTGAAGACATCTTTTTTTATCCCCAAAAAGTAAACAAATAAATAACAAATAATAAACTAAAAAGAGTAGGGCACTATCTACAGCTGTTTCAAACAGGCTTCAAGAGTTAACCCTCAACACTGGCAACTACAGGGCAAGACATCATCTTTTGAGCTCATGGACGTACGTGTTCATGATCTATTTTGTAGTTACGCCTCTGCACACTGTTACATAATTCCAGATTTACCTCGGATGATGGACAGCTTGGCGCTGGTGACAATCTCGCCTTCGCTGTTCTCAGCCACGCATTCGTAGACGTTCTCGTCACGTGGCGCTCGGAGAGGCTGGATTCTCAGAACTGCACCGGCGCCCTCGTCAAACTCTATGGTCTGTGGGGTTGAAGTGTAGGGAACACGGTCAGACAAATGTGTGATTTGGACTGAAAAACTACTACTTTAACCTGAAGCAACAGGTAGGCAAGAATGGCAAACCCGAGGAAAACGAGATTCTCACATTTCCTAAGGAGATACAAGGACGAGTGTGTCATCGGTGCTCCCAAAATGTGAGAAATCGTTTTCAATTCCACCAAGATATCATTGCTTGGAAAGGTACCGTGTTGGTAATGTTTTATAGCCTGAGGCCATCAGAAATTTAAAAAAAAAAATCACAAGGAAGCATACTCTCTCTACAAACAGTGTTTGTGCTTTGTGATTTCATCTGTTGATTTGATCTTTAATTATGCCCTTTGTTCTCTATAAAGCCTTTTGTTTTGAACCTCATTAAAGGAGCCTCTTCAAAACAAAAAATATCAGACAACGGTCAGAATACTGAGCAGAACAGAGCTTTGGTTATGATAAAAATATATTATTTGCTATTATTACTATTATTCTATAAGAAGAGCAATGTAAACAAAAACTTACTGAAAATGTAACAATGCGTGTGACTGACAAGCGGGCAGTTTTACAACAGTAGTCGTAGAAACTAGCCCCTGGCCAGTATTTAAATAGCCTTGTTTGATCTCCCTGAACACCAGCATATCAACAGGCATGTATCCTGAAGCAATGAGCTGAACTTCAAGAGTTGGGTAAAAGACTAGAATTTAAATTATGGAAAATCTCAGTTAATTAGGCCTTGATTTGAATATTTCCCATGCCTTTCTCTTTTGCCCTCATTCCGAATGTGTGAAGTGTCAGTGTAGATGGTCAGGACTGCCATTCTCACAGCAAACCTACTCCTCCCAGTATCTGTCCTTCCTCGCAAAAGTTAACACCGTCTCAGCCAAGGATTCACTGCTGTGAACTCTGAGCAAAGCATGACTATAAGATGCAAGTACAAGTCTTCAGCAGCCCTGCTGCTCCACTGTTGCACATCTCAGGGCTGAGCCGCTAATTAGGCTAAAAACACTGCAGAGCACGGCATCATGATTGATATCAAAGCAGCTGTCTAGAGGGTGGAAACGGGAAAAAAAAACCCCAGCTACTTCAAAACCCCTTTACAAATTTTTTTATTTAATTTTATGATAAATGGAGAAAAAGAAGCGTCCGTTCTGGCGGGCTCCTTCACGCCCTTGGCTTTGTTTCCCACTTAGCATGCAGACGAGGCAAACGCACAAACACAACTTGTCTTTTAATTTTGTCCTCAGTGGAAATGCTGATCTCCCCTCGTCGATGGTGCCATTTTTTGCTTTTTTTTTTAGCCCCTCCCCCTGTAGCTGCCTTCACGCCGCACTGTGCATGTCTGTGTGTGTGCGTACATGTGTGCGCATCGCTGCACTGTCGCTGTCATCGTTGTTAACAAAAGCAACTTTTTAATTAAGAGACACTGAGCATCAATCAAGACTTTTAGAGATGCCATCTGGGATGCCTGCCGAGAAGTGAACAACAAACATCATGAATAACGTGCAGTAACATTCACACAGACAGGGCTGTGTGCTGAAAAAAGACAGGAGGGAAAAAATGTGACAACAGCAGAGTCATTCAAATGCAAAAGGAAAAAAAAAACGGCTTTAGACGAATGAGAGGGTTCTGTATTTCATTACTGACCAGTTGCTACTGGTAGACTAGCACACTGCTTAAAGATTAGAGAAGCAAGCCAACAAAGATGCTATCAGCAATAATTTCAAGGCTAATTAAAATGTTGCTTTTGATAAGGTGGTGAGTTCCCCCAGCTGCAAGAGAAGACTTGGAATTTTGTACTGCTGAGAAGAAAATATGTGGTAAAACGTTTAATGTGGTATTAAACTGTAGGATTGTTATTTGTCACAACAGTAAATATCACAATATATGAAGTAACAAATGGTAAAGAACTTTTGTTTATTGCACAACTTTCTATTTATCTAAATTTTTAGCAGTATCAAAGCTTTTTTCCCAATTTACTCCCACGATACTCCAAAATGTTTCAATGTAATGTTCACTGACATGAAGATACAAATTTTTTTTTAGGGCAATACATTTTTGGACAGTGACACTTTTTAATATGATGCATAAAAATATTACTGAGTATTTCACCCAAAGCTCATCAAGGTAAAGTAAAGTGGGACAATTCCAAAAAAATGATCCCACAAAGAACAACAAAGAACATTTAGAATAAAGGCTGCACCAATGGACAGCAGGTTTTACTTACCTCTATACGCTGGGAGTTCACCTTCTTTCCTTTTTTGTTCCAACTAACCTTTGGCTTGGGGTCACCTGTTGCCTGGCAGACAAAGGAGACCACGCCCCCCGAGACACCAATCTGGTCAACGGGAACTTTTGTGAAGCGTGGTAGTGCTGAGGAGCGAAGACAACAGAGAAAGAGGGAGAGGACAAGAAGAGAGGGAGATACATTAGTAGACGAAAGCCAAACGCAGCACCACCAGAGCTAATGCCATTCTTATAATTACATTTCTGAAAATACAGACTTTTAAATCCCGGTTTAAGTGCACGCATCCATAGAGAGACACACTAGTACAGAACGTCCCATCAACCTCCACTTGGCTCTTCCCTTTCAGGCTCTTACACTTGTCTCCATAGCACAGTGCTGCATCTTAGTGTTACAACATCAGAGTTATACTTGGCTGGGTAGAGAGCATTGTGGTGTGAATTTATATGTAGAGTCTTTGCTAAGACGTAGACGATTATTAGCTTAAAATGATTACCCACAGCGCAATAGAGTACAGCCTAGCATACTACCGGCGTTGCTGGGAATACATTAGCAAAGGCAATTAAGAAGATGAGACAGTAAAAATGAGTTTTTGTTTTAATTTGACGCTATTTTTTTTTCCAAGAGCTTAACATGACTTTTCCTGCTGGACAGAGTATAGCACTGACTAAGCCACTGCAGCAGTTCAATTCTCACTTGCACTAAAACATACTAAAAATTGATCTGCCCGGGAAAATTGATGCTTTTGCCCATCAAAAGTTTTAAAATTTGGTGCTTTTGGAGCTGGAATTTTCCCCTCGTGCTTGGGTTGCAGCAAGTTCAAGACAACAAGTCTGATAGAAAGAGAGAAACAGAGAGAAAACAGACTCCTGGGGAACTCGTTAAAATGGAATCATACAGATATGTGGGGATGATCAAACGGCCAGCGCATAACGTCAAATTAATAATTAAGGGACCATGGGCCAACACCAGTCTCCAGGCACTGCTAAACACATATGAAGGAGAGTTCCTGCATTCATTATCTGGTAAAGAGATATACGCAATTGGAGAATGAGGTAAGGGGGAATAGCGTTAGACAAGGGGAAGGAAAAGAAGAAGGGCGAGAAGAGGCACTACACAATCCAAATGTTTCTGATGCAAATATCACAGCAACACACACATACTAACTTTAGCCTGCTGAATTATTGGGATGAGTGCTTAGAAACATAATAAAAATGTGTTTAATCTTCATAAGAATCTAAAGTAAAAAAAAAAAGTGCAACCTTGATTTATATTGCTTGGATGATCTGCAGATAAAAGTCTGTTTCAAAAAGCACCATTATGGCTACATGACAAAAAAAAAGACTTTCAGCTAATAACAACTATTAACATTAGTTCATGGCTAAAAACAAGACTCAATAATATCATTTGTGATGTAATTTTTCTTTTATCGAGACAAGTGTTTGGCACAAATTGTTCTCCTACTGCAGATAAGCAGTTTTTCTCATCTTGCTGCTATTTCTGTCCTGCTTACCATACTTGTTTTTAGGAATATTGGTGGATAGTGCTAGTGGTCTCTATAACATTGTGTTTTTTTAAAGTGTAAATGGTATTGCAAGACTGTGAGATTTTAAAGCGCTAATTTGATAGTAAATTTTGTTTTCGTATAGAATAAAATCTCTTCCTGCAGTCTGTGACAGATGGATATTGTTCACACTGAACTAAATAAACATTAGTACAATAACATTACTAACTTCAGAAGCTTATTCTATGTTTATGATACATGCAGAGTATGTATGTTACAAACCAGTTCATTCTGAATACAAACCTGATGTTACTTAATGAACTAATTTAGGATTTAAACATAAAGAAATTTCAATTTGTCAAACAATGTTCTCCAGCTCACAGAAACCATATAACATGCACGATAAAAACAATGAATTTACAAAAAAAAACAATAACAAATAACACTCTGTTGTTTATTTCACTAGAGTATACTTCCTATATCTATGGTTAAAGGTTGTGGTACAATATAGGTACGGCATCCTATCTTCGCCATCAAGGACCAGGCCTGCTTTATTTGTGCGTTGCATACAATGACCCCTTTTGGCATTTTACACTTTCAATTTCCATTCTGAAACTGCACAACACAGCTTTACACAACACAGCTCCTCTGCATTTGACCTCCCCCTTACAATGCGCTCTCTGTTGAGACAGAAGAGGGATTTACACAGATCAAGCCTGTGGCGGTGGTTCTGCTGAAGGACAGCATTCTTTGATTAGTTTTTCCCCTGGACCATTTGACATTTCCACCCAGTCGCCTTCTTCACCTCTCCCCGTCTCGCTTCATAGGATGTGAGAAATGTACAATAAATGCAACTGTTTGCATGTGCGTCTGAGTTGAACTCGTGAAACGTGCAGAATTTTCAGAACTAAATGGTTTTCGATATTATCTCAGCAAGGTTTAAATAAAGCAAGACAGCTGGGGAGCTGAGAGGAGAACGAAAAAGAGTGTGACCGCTGAGAAGGACGGAAGGACAAGTGCAGCAGGAGGTGGAGAGGTCAGTGGTAAAGAGAACACTGGAAGAGAAGAGTAGAGAAGGTGACAGGAGGTCCAGAGAATCGAGGAGAGGCTGTGAAGAGAGAGTGCTGCATATTTCTATAGAAAGAAAGCTTTTATAACTTTCAGTACCTATTGCTTTTTTTTTTTTTTGTTTTTTTGGTTATTTGCATTTTTCTTTTTTTTTTAAATGCATGAGATCAAACAGCCAGTTAATACCTTTTGGAAACAGTAATATCTGCTGTACGTGCTGCAACATCTTAAACTCTGGTGTCCATGTACCCCTTATCAGCGAGGCATTTACGACAGTATTCACTGATCACGCCACTAACAATAAGTCTGATTTCTAAGACCTAGATTTACATTAACTCTCATCTAAAGCGACATTCAATAACGACGAAAGGAAGAGTGACCAGGGTTTTGTATATTTTCTGAAAGCCGTCCTAGATTCTTCTGAATAGAAGACATCCATATTGCCTCGGGACGAAATAAAAATGTAAAACGCAGCTACGAACGTCTATCACGGCCACCGGCTCAGCTGTAAGGCGGCACTCACAGCTCGACAAAAGCTAATGCTAGTGCTAGAAAATGGAAAGGTATTTGTGCAAATGTAAGACACAATATCTCTGTCACGATGAGGACATCAGTCTACGGCCTACAGATGTCACTGCTGTCATAGGTTAATCCCTGGGCGTCACTGTTCACAGAGACATGCATCTCAAATTCGACCTCTGCAGAGATTACTGCAAGGCATAAAATTGCACATAATTATATCCTACTGCCTGAAACTTTTGTCACATAAGTACTGGCAAAAGTTTTAACTCTAGCTCTGCTCTCCTTCCTTGTATTTTTAAGGGTGGTTTTTTTTTAGACTTTAGTCATCTCACAAAGTGAGTTTAATGTTCTTGGAAGTCAGTAGCATTAATTAACTTCCAGTCAATTCGGATTAGGTGAAGTTGTCCGCACAATTCATTTAGATGGACTCCCAGTTTAATTGAATGTAGTTCTTGTTTTCAATAAAAACACTAAAAAAGTGTGTTTACGACAATATAGGAATAAAATGAATGGTGGGCAAACGTATTCTGCTGAGGTGTTTCTGTGTACCTGTCTGCATATGTTTGACTGGCACTGGCTGTTGAATGTCTATAAAGGTGCAGTTACTGCAGGTATGCCGTGTGTGATTGTGTGAACTCTGATGAGCATAATTAACCTTCTGTTCTGTTTTTCCCAGCTGTGATCCTCTGGGCTTTTGCTGCCAGTTACCACTGACTCAAAGTTCAATTTGAACTTTGCCAACACCAGTAATTGCAGGGTAAGAAAGGTTGAAAAGAGCCTGGATTTAAAGTGCTTTGCAATAATGAATAATGGCACAGAGCGGCCTATATCAACAGATAAAATTGTTCACAGTGTTTCCTGCATTGAATGGCCCATGTGATGACGATATGCACTGACACCAGTATCAAATAATATCAAATGCAAGTGCAAAAACTGCAAGTCTCTAGCAGCCTTCTTGCTCATTAAGGCTACATTTAGCACCAAATCCTCCAGGCTTCCTTTGGTCCAGTGGGTAAAAATAGCTTTCAGTTCATTTTCATGAAGGCAAAACATTTAGAAGGTTCTCTTTTGAACTAGTAGGCAGGTTATATTCCCACTAGTGCCACCTTTTCTGAAAATATATGCACTTCTATGGCTCTGAGGTAACTCGCATGTCAGTCTCCACGTACTGTTGTTCGTTATGTTACCGGAGATGACATTGAAAGGACACTGCACCCACAGTGGCCATTTGTCCCTTCTACCAAAGTCTCCCTCTATTCACTAAGCTTCCCACAGACAGACTGAGGTACAGTCTTGCCTAGATAAGCACACAGAACCTGTCTTTATCTGCCTGGCAGGGGGACGTGGCCTAAGCTAAAATAACCAGCAATCGGGGCCCAGCTATCTTCACAAGGCCCCGAGAATAGAACAGATCCACGCAAACAAGAGTGAATAGAAGGAGGAGGAAAAACTCACACTGTGCACACAGACGCTTGTTTAGCTAATACAGCAACCACCTGCTACTGGCCGCTACCTCTGTTGGACCCGATAACACAGAATACACCAGCACTGTGATTATAAAGTGGCAGAGAGTGGGAGGTGGGAATGTGAATATGAGACGGCTCCATTTACAGTACTTTACTGTTGTCGTTTGGTGGGGGGGGAGGGGTGTAAGAGGAGGGAGGGGACTGGCTTTATGACTAATACGGTAATTGATGGAGAAAAGCTTCTCGGGTCATAAATAGGAGCCATTATCCTCGGAATTAGCAAAGTGGGAGACAAAATGATGCACAGCCATTCAGTGATTTGCAGAGAATTGGTAAAGGGCACTTGTTATCCATCTTGCTACAAATAGGTATCTTTCACAGCACACGGGACATTTACCAGCAATGTCTAAAAAGTACATTTGGTACTATGAGAGGTATTACAACCAGCAAATCAATTTCACTTCCTCCAGGTTGCTGCAGGATCCTGAGAATAGGGTGGTCAGGATGGAGATGCAGATTAGTATAACATTAATTTTGCTTTTTTTTCTCTTCTTCTTCTTCTTTTTTT